CGTCTCAATGGCGCAGGCAAACCCGCTGCAGCGGGTGTTTTTGCCGCTGCAGCGGGTGGATTTTCCCGCTGCAGTGGGTTTCTGACTTTGAGGAGGATTTTCCCCTTCTATATGGCCGAATTAGCGTTTGGTGTCTTCATGAAAGTTGTGGCTCTATCTTTTATCTTTCCAATGCCACAAAGATCACCTCATTTGGACTTCAGATGACAAAGTTATGCCTAAAATATTGAAGTATGTTCTGAAGTCAAATTTTCACTCCTTTTATTCCATTCTAGCTTCAACCTTCAAAAACAAAATAAAGCACATTAAACTAACAAAAATGCTTAAAAACTTATAAATATTTGAACTCAAAGGTACTTGATTTGTTGGTAAATAACATCCTCATCAAATACCCATAAACTCAAACCTTTGCTTGTCCTCAAGCAAAACAAAAGAAAGCAAAATAGAAATGAAGGAGAAAACAATGTAAACCAACAATAACTTAAAAACTAAAGTGTGAGTTTTGTATCCATTCGATAGCTAGACATATATCTCAAAGGCCATGCAATGCATCAAAGTTCAAAGGAAATGCAAACACTGAGATTTTCTTGAATTTCAACATCAAGCACCAATTTTACCTCATTCAAGACTCTCTAAGTGTAAGTATGTGCCGGACCAATCTCACTTAATCAATTTAACCCTGATAGACCTAAGTGCTTCGACAGAAGATGAGAGATCTCTAGATAATGCAATTGAGAACTACCATAGGCCCATTTTTCATGTTGCTCTTCACTAATGTCGGCTAGAATGTCATCAAAGATCAATAGGTCTTTTAAGGGTTGTAATGTAAGGCTAGAGTGTAAGGTAGATGAGATGGAAAATTTTAGGCTTAAGATCACCCTAGGCATGAAGTGCACCCCATGGATCTTGCATGAATGATTGGAAACTCACACACCAACTCCCACTTTGCTCAATTCTCTATTTACTATCATTCCCACAAAACGTTATTCATGAATAAACTCGAAACACAAAAACAAGAAATTCATAAGAATTTATTTTCTTTTTGTTCTTTTCTTTCTTTTTTTTTTTTTGAATTCCCAAACCACAAATGAAATGCTCAACACTTTCATGATTGCTCTCAATAATAATATCTTTAAATTCATGCAATGATGCAAACATGCCCATAAATGATAGGTTAAGTGAAGGGGATTCATAAAATGGTTAGGTTAATTTATGTGGGTAATGAAAGAAAAAGGGGTCACATAGGCTCAATGGGGGAGACTAGTGGTAAGTTTTCCATAGGTGAGCTATTTAAGGCTCAAACGATCCAAGAAAATGCCTGAATCATTTCTCCAACAACACCCTAACCTAGAATTTCGCTTCGAGCTTCACTCAAATGGGTTCTAGAGTTCATGAGATGTCAAAGTCCATCTAATGCACACAAATGTTCTCCAAAGGCTCAAAATATCAAGTGATCATGGTTTAAAGTGCTCAAAAGTCGAGAGTAAAAAACGAGGTTCAATTAATGCAAGTTATTAAGCACACAGAAAACTCAACGAATTACATTTTCAAAGACCTAAGAAACAAATTGTGACATTCATTATCATCATCGACTTATAGCTATTTCATTTTAACAAAACTCACAACTTATTCAAATAAACTAAAAGAAACACAAATAAAATTCTGGCCAAAAAAACACAACTCATAGGAAGAAAAGTCACATTAACCAACACAAAACCAAAACCAAAATCCAACATAATCAACAAACAAGTGTTCCCACCCCCAAACTCAAGAGAAACATTATCCTCAATGTTTAAATAATCAATTTAAGCACAATGGAACAAGAATACGTACTGGGGAGGTGAGAAATCTCGCCTCCTACTGTGGTCGGTGAAAGATGCTAAGGGCATAGTGGCATATACTCGGGTTGTTGCAGGCCTTCCTCCATAAATTGCATCTTGAGGCTCATTTATTCTAATGCCGTGGAAGCTCGTCAAAGAGTGGCTTCCGCCCATAGTATGTCGTACAACACGACATATGGGTCTTGATTCTTGACGCCCTCAAGCTTGGCGGGATATGGAATTAATTGGCTCATTCGATCAACTTGACTTTGCTCAGGCTCATAAGCTTGGTAGGCTTGAATGAACAATGCTAGAGATGGTGGAGGAGGTGACAGTCACATTGGATCTTCATAGACGTGTTCTTCTTTGATTAGTGGTGGCATAACAACTTGGATCTCAAAAGGTGTAGACTCTTGAACTTCATCTTGCGATTCCTCATCATCGATGAACACTTCTTGAGTCTCTTCCTCAATTGAATTATCACACTATTGAACAAATTCAAGTTCCTCCTACTTGTACTCGACTCCTCATGGTGGCTTTCATACATGTTGGTTTGTGAGTCTCGCATTGCCACCGTCCTTGTCATGGTTTCAATCGGATCATTTGAAGACTTCTTCATTCTTGAAAACTCCGCTTGAAGTCGGCCAAGCTCGTCTTGTAAGTTACAAAGGGTCTCCATCCTCACCAACTTCTCTCTACTAAGCCTTGTCTCCACCACGAATTGGGCAAGAATCTCTTCAAGGTCTAGAGAAGACTCCGCTTGTTGAGGTTGAGTGTCGTACCATGGCTCCAAAAAGTTAGAAGTCTCCTCCCAACCTTGGTTGTTTGGAGAATGATTACAACACCAATTATCATAATCAACCATGTCTGCTAAAAACCAAGACACTTCATCCGCTGATAATTGGTAGAGAGAGGTGGTACCATTTCCTCTTTCCACCCAAGTTCGTGTTGTGGCGTTTAACCGATCGAGGAAGTTTTGCAGTTGA